AGGACTGGGCACACCGGAAGTACAAATTGCATCGGTCCCAGTTCCCGCTTTGACAGGCAACAAAATGGTGTCGAGCAACTTATAAGGAGAACAGCTGCCTGATAGCCCACAACCTGCTCAAATTACTAGAGATCGGAGCCTGAACAAAACCAACATCAAATAAAAGACTAGGGGAGATCTGACGTGAAAAAAGTTGAATTAGATGATCGCATCAGTCAGTTTCATGGTCGGCATCTGAATGTTAGAGGCAACACGAGATGTTGCACTGCTTGCAGAGAGGTTGTTTCATCAAAGAAAAGCATTTTGTCATCCCATTGTGCTTCCAAAAAACATGCCAGTGGGAGAGAATAGATCAAGAAGTCGAAGTTGAGAGAACATCAAGTCACCGCTTCTAGCCTGGAGTGAAGTGCAGTAGTTAGGTGTGTTTTATCAGAGCGAAGTGTGTAACTCTAGATAATTAAAGAAAATATGATGCTTTATTAACAATAAATATATAATTGTGGTTTTAAGAATAGTTTTGTTCTTTTTATTTTTAAGCATACATTAAGAAAAAGTGGCATAATTTAAAAGAAAAAAGCATATTCTTGAGCATAATTTGGAAAAAAATCGGGCACTGCTAGTAAAATAATATGCTACTTTTAGCACAATCAATGAGGGCCTATAAGATTATGGCACCTTCCCGATTTATCAACTCTTATTTGAAAATACGTTTTTGTAAATAACTCGGAAGCTTTTGCAGATTTTTTAAATTTATTTTCCGGAAACGTTAGGTAAAATGTTTAACTTCAGTTTAGTCAAATAAAAGAATAAATGATTTCTTTTTTTGGAATGAGAAGGTGGGAAGTAACCTTTTAAAAATGTTTGAGCCGTTTAAACTAGGAGCACTGACGCATTAGATAAAAAGCGTACCGCTTCCTTTGCTGTAAAATAACCATCGTGATAAGAGTGTTAAACGCCCACTATGTTGGCACAAAGATTACTTTAAAAATAAGTCAACTGTAAAGTCCTTAGTGTAATTGCTTTGTCTATGTAAGCGTGTTGAGTTTTAATAAAAATATGAGTCATAAAATCCTAATCTGATGTAGTTTCGTTAAATCTTCGTTGGCAAACCTGAAACATGGTTACGTCGACTTTGCTGATCTTCTGTTACAAACTCTTGTAATGTTTGCCCATGTCACAAAGTGCCTCTGGTTTTCCAGTATTGGCAATATCAAAACAAACCTCTTGAGTTTTCTTTCAAAGCGGTGCATTTTAGAAAAAACAATTAGTTCAGCGTGCGTGAGTTTCATCCGCTTTCCCAAAGTTCCGGTTGCAAAGCTGAAACATGGTTATGTCGGCCTTGCCGATCTCTTACAGAAGAGCTGTTTCTAAATACTTTTGCTTCCATTGTTAAATGTAGATTTGTTTATACGCAGATAATTCAATCCCATCCCTGCTTATCAAGGCATGTACCTATGAAATAAATTGAAACACTTGCTGCGCTCGGTTCGTGGGTAAAGACCTCGAGCCAACTATTTTCCCGTTCAGCACTCTAATTTAATTAATAACCGCATATCATTTGATGCACATCATTACGTGGCAAGTTGTATGAGACCATTTATATCAGGAACAGTTTTTATTTCTTCTTAAGGGAAAACTTGTTCAGTATTAACTAATCAAAAGTTTACTTATCTTTACTAAAATGGCTTGCCATGAATCCAGAGAGAGGGCGATATTCAAAAGGTGAGTATTAGACACTAGTTTGTAGAACATGTTTTTAACAGTTTTCCACTACGTTATCCAACCGAACCGGAAATTTTAATCACTTGATGATTAAGATGATGATATGTTTACAAAGATTTTACAATAGCTCAAGATGGTTTCATTACAAAAATTTTAAAACTTTCGTCACTTGAAATCTTTCTCTACCGCTACTCTACATGTTTGACTTGTATCAGCATAAAACTTACAACATTACTTTGTTGGTTTCTATCAAAAGTGGACATGCTTTCTCCGGAATAGGTTTATGCCTAAAAGACTACAGGATTCCATTGCAAGCTCAAAGGAAAGAATGTTAGCAGTAAAGGAACTCTTTTATCATGGCAAACTAAAGAAAAGATAGGTCATTCAAACTTGTCGAGAATATCATTTAAAGTCCCTGAATACCTCTGACCTAAAAGAACTTTAAACCGCCGGAGAATTGTGTAAGAAAAGGAAATAGAAAACCAAAGAATTCAGAATTTGGGAAATACTTTAGGCAGATTTAGAGAATGGAAATCAATCAAGTAATTTATTGCTGTCTCATTTTAACGTGGAATTGGTATTGTCGAATTGCAGCATCAACTCGTTAGAAAGCTGTTTGAAAGCCATGAGTTTGGAGGAAATAAGAATGTACGTACTTTATCTCTATACTGTGAGAAATACCATGATATGATAACAACAGAACAAGAAGCTCGGGCCCTGGACGGATTATGATGTTATATTCTTGGGAAATAAGCTTCAATCAGACATTCACGAGAGCGCATAGTTATTACTAAGGAAACCGCAATTAAAACTTGACGAAACGCTAGCGGGAAAAGGGTATCTTATCCAAACATGATGCCGTGAAAGTCAGGATAAGTTTTGCGTTGAAACCATTGGGTTACTACCTGAACTTTATCATAACAACTACTTGTCGCTGAAGTGTACAGACTAAAAATATTAACCCCCATTTTCGAGTAAAAATTGGGTAAAAAAAAAGGCTCGTACCCAAACCCGATGATGAGTAGGAAACAACTTCGAGGACTGTGCGAAAGTTATCTGGAGCAATCTAATTAGTTTAAGGAAGATAAAGTAAAAATAAATCCAAGATTGCAGTTTTGTTCTTGAAATTTACAAACAAATTCCACGTTCTAATAAAGTATGCTTTATTCTCCCATCCGTGAATGTGAATTTTTTTTTCTCTGAGGGCACGGTAACGAATCCTGCAATATGCGGATCGGTTCTTAGTGCAGCCCAAATTTTTCTACCTCTGCCCAGTAGTGGCACGGTATAACACTTTCGTGAGTAGCCAAATCGGCAGCATTGATACCGCTATTCATAAATATATTTCGTTTTGCCGGCTCCGCAGTATTTTTTAGCAGAAACGTCGGCTACTACCTCAAGCCGATAAATATCTTAATAATCCTGTCTTTTCTCTCTCTCTCTCTCTCTCTCTCTCTCTCTCTCTCTCTCTCTCTCTCTCTCTCTCTCCAGATTCATGGCTGAGTATCTGCTACCTTCTCTCCTCTTCTTTTTTTGCTATAAAATTTTCCAATATTTTCCCGTTTTTACAGTTGAATATATCAGTCTATTTTCCACTTATAATACTTCTATTCAAAGTTACCGACCAATACGAAATCGTTAGTCAATATATCAATCTAAATACGACCAACGTAGCAAATAATCAATCTCTGGTACCCGCACGCGCATCGAAAAAATCGCGAGAATAAAAAAATTTTGACGGACTTTAAAGGTCTTCAAGTTCTTTTTAATTGCCGTAAAACCCCTCTGGGATCTGGAATATTTTACTTTCCACACCATCTTAATTTTAGAACAAAACTGCGTTCCCACATATAGTATCAACTTGACTTAACAAGTCAAATTTTTTTGAGTAGGTCGATTATCCTTTTTCTTTATAAAATCATTATATTTTACTTTAAATTCTTTTTTTCGGTTGGAAAGTTCTGCGCTTGTGAAAGAAAACATGTTAAACCTGTTCTTTGAATTATGTGTCCCAATTAAACGATTTTATTGTACAAAAACCACTCCGTAGCAAATACCCATTTAACGTAGCAAGTACCCACTTTATGTAGCAAATACCCATTTCTACTTCTTTTGCTCTAGAGAAACTTTTTTTTTTTGGTAAAAGATTAAGTTTTAGGGAACTATTTGGGTATTGCTTAAAAACAATCTCTCCCTCTGTATTTTTTAATTTAAATATAACACGCTTTACCGACAAAAAAAGCGTACACGCGCATTTTTGTAAGAAATAGTTTCATTTCCAAATGACTGAAATATTAAGCAATTAAAAGTGTTGTGGAAAGGGTTTTGTTACGTTTATGTAAGTTAAATCATGATAGCATCTTAATCTTATAAACGCTGCACTTTACATAGGTAGTTTGAACGACTACGAGCGCTTATTGTGGTGTGAAAAATTTCCTTCAAGTGTTACTTTAGATAGCATAACATGCATCAGCAATAAATCCTTATTCAAATCTGAAAGGGACAAGAAATTTTTCCAGTGTTTCCCTTGTTCTGCTTTTACTGCATTTAAAACTCTGTTGGAATGTGAACCTTATTCTTTTTTCTAGTGTAGGCCTAATGTTAACTTATATTAACTAATTGAGTTTTAAATCGCGCAAAGCTTTGTTACAATGTAATCTTAGTTTTGATTCATGTTTAAACTTAGTTCAATTTTTTTAAACGCCCGTACGACTCTATTCATACAAATTTAGTTGCATTTCTGTAAAAGCCTTGTTCTGTTCTATATGCGCGAAAATAACTCACATTGTGACTTTAGCCTATTTCCAGTCTATGTGTGATATAGCTTTAGATGGACTCNTGAAGTAAGGAGTTAATTCTGTTTTAAAAACATGAAGTATGATCAGCTTAAACAGAGTGATAACAGCAGATTATTTTCTTTAATACTGAAGTAAAATCAAAGACATCTGCAGAAGTTATAAACAACAGACCAGGAGCTGGAGTAGTGGACAGCACATTGGCTGCTGAATACAAGGTATTACTGACAATATTATATAACGTTATGTTTTTTCATTGAGTTATATTTGCGTGGTGTATTGTTTATTTATTTGTTCGTTAATTAGGCATTCTTCGTACCCATAACTTGATTTTTTTTGTAAGCTGTTTCAGTGCAAACGACCAACAATGAACATGTAGAGGTCACAAACAGACTAAAATATAACTTAGTATACGTTTTTTTTATTTACAGATGGTAGAGGTCATGGAGGGATCCAGTGTCTTCTGGTACCCTCACCAACGGGCCTACTGTTCTGCGTTCAAGTCCTGGTCCGGATATGTCAACGCTGTTGTTGACATATTCTTCACCAAAGAAACACTTGCAATTTCAAGTGCAAGGGGAAGTGATAGAAAAGGCAAAAGCGGTGATGCAAACATTCCGTTGACCCCCCTCATCGTTGATGCCCTTGTTGGTAAGTAGTGCAACACTGAATTATTTTATTCAGAAATAAGTACATAACTTGCAGTCATGGGGATCTCTAACTCACTAATTAGAACTTGAATTGACTGGGTTTTTAAGGCATTGTTGTCCTTAAAAAATAAGCAATTTAATACAAACTTGCATGCAATAATTATGATATAGAATTGAAGCAGAGAGAGTTTTATTTGGACACAAAGTACTGGAATCCCAGTAGTTTCCATTGCAGCCCATTACAATTAACCTGGATTGAAACTTCCACAAAAAATGTATAAAACTGATCTAAAGGTTTTAATCTTACTCCCTTAGCCACAGTAGAGATAATTAAGACACCAGTAAATGAAAAAAAAAATAATGTCACTGAGCTTTCAATTAAGTTATTAATTTTATAAATCAAGCAAACAAAACAGAACCCATTACAATTGATTACCTCCAATCAAGCAATTTTTGTTTCTTGGTAAGGCAACATTCCACGTATAAGTTGGGGTACTGTTTTACATGTAAATATGACTTAATATTAACTTAAACTTTTTTTTTCAGGTAAAGTCTGTTCAAAGTTTTCAAAGGACTCTCCTCAACCGAGCCAAATCATACAGAAGATAAACATGAAATGTGTGGAAGCTAGAAGGCCCCCAAGAGTACGAGAGCAACGAGCAGAATGAACACTTTTTATAATTACTGTAAAACTGTTTAACTTCAAGAGTTTACCAATTTCATTATGTTGACCACAAAGAAAATTTCTGTTTGATAATGTTGACCAAAATACAGAATAACAGTTTCATAGTCTTGGCCAAAAATAACAGTAACCGTATTATAGTGTCGATCAAAAAGAAGAATAACAATTTGACAGAGTTGGCAAGTTAAGTCGTATTGCTTGATAAAAAAAAGTAGTGTTGTTAATGATAGTGTTGAGCGAGAGGAAAACTACCGGTTTCATAGTGTTGACCTAGAAGAAATATAAGATTTTTGGTTTTTTGTTATTTCTATTCAATTTTTTTTGCAAGAAATTTTAGATGCAATTAAAGATATGGTTTCAATGGACGAATATGATGTCACCATTACTTGCCTTTAACCTCACAGTCCCTTTAGTAATTTCTGAATCATATGGTAAAGATATGGGGCTGAAGTCAAAGGACCCCATAGTGTTCCCATATGAGATGTCAGCTTTGCTGAATGCTATGGGAATGATATGGAACTTTAAAATCCCATAGCAATCCCATAGAGAATGGTCCAGGGTCATTATGGGAATGGTATGGGATTGTTGCATACCATTCCCCTAATGGATACTATGGGGAATATATGGAACTTTATGAAATACGTAGCAATCCCATAGAGAATGTTCAGCCATCATATGGCATCACTATGGGACTGACCCATACCATTCCCATACCAGATCCTATGGGGAATGTATGGAACTTTACGAAATACGTAGAAATCCCATAGTGAAAGACAATAGAATGCACTTGGCGGGCACTAGTCACTATTTATGGGTTTGATATGGGAGCTAACATCCCATATAAAAACCATGCAATGCTCATAGATTAGCCATATGTTGTCCCATACCATTTTCATATTTGGACCATATATGTTCCATATCAACAGCTTTGGTAAGGGCGGTATTTGCGAGGTGATACTTCGTGTTCGAGCGCCGTTCTTCAACGTGGCGGCAACGATCCTAAACCAATATCTCACCGATGTTCTAGAGCCTTGTCCTAACGTTTTTTCCAGGCGCCATACGGGCTTTAGTAATCCCACCGTCAGTCCTTACTTGCCCGATGGCGTTCACTTAAACCCTCAAGGCCAATGTTCTCTTTATCGAAGCTATCGGGGAGCTATCTTGAAGGCCCTTCGCTCGCTTTGGTTTCTCACCTTGCGGCTTTCTTTTTCTAGTATTGTTTTATAAGGCCCTGGTGCTGGATTTTATTAATCTTGATTTTCAGCCCTTGTTGCAAACAATTTTTGTAATTTTAGGCCCTTGTTACTCTGGTTTGTTTATTTTTATTTTATTAGGGCCCGTGTAGCTCATGTTTCATTTCACTTGGAATGCTGGTTGCTCTTGTTTGTTTTCCTTTTGAATTAGAGCCATTACTGCTCTGGTTTTATTTTATTTGAGGCCCTTGTTGCTCCTGTTTATTTTGAAGTAGAGCCATTGTTGCTCTGGGTTTATTTATTTGAGGCCCTTGTTGCTCATGCTTCTTTTGAATTAGTGCCATTGTTGCATTGGTTTTATTGGCTTTGGGGCCCTTGTGGCTCCTGTTTAATTTGAATTAGAGTGATCCACAGTGATCGTTTGCAATTTTTTCTTTCTGGGTATATTCCTTCCGTAGTAGAGCTTTTATCCAAAGGTTTTAATTACAGCTTTCCCTCGCACTATGAAGGACCGCAAGACTCTTCATGTGCTAAAAACTTACTTTCTGCAATCCAATATCCTGAGGCAGTTGATGCCAAACTAGATAAAGAAATTGCCGCTCATCGCATTGCGGGCCCTTATTCCTCTCCACCCTTTCCCCATTTTCGTATATCTCCACTTGGTTTGGTTCCTAAAAAGACAGAGGTTGAATTCCGTTTGATTCACCACCTTTCTTTGCCTCAAGGTTCATCATTGAATGATGGCATTTCTTCAGAATTTACTAGCGTATCCTATGCTACGGTGGAAGATGCCATTCATATCATCAGAACTGTTGGCCACGGCTGTTTTATGGCCAAAACAGATATTAAGAATGCTTTTCGAATCATTCCTATTCAACCCCAAGATTACAACCTTTTGGGGATTTGTTGGAGAGGATTTTATTATTATGACCGCTGTATGCCGATGGGGTGTTCAAGCTCTTGCAAAACATTTGAAATTTTTTCTTCTGCCATAGAATGGATTGCCCAAAAGAAATTGCATATCGATCACATTTTGCACCTGCTGGATGATTTTCTCATTGTCTCCCCCTCTCCTGATTTGTGTAAACAACAACTTGATTTATTCTTAATGCTCTGCCAATATCTGGGCATCCCTATGGCGCCGGAAAAAACAATTGGCCCTTCATCAACAATTTCATTCGCAGGTATTGAATTAGACTCGGTCCTTATGGAGGCTCGGCTGCCTCCTGATAAGCTAGTAAAATGTCAGGACTTAATTTCCGGTTTTCTCAGGCGTCGCAAGGTTACCTTAC